TCTCCCAAGAGAATTAAAGACATCATATTACAGTGATGTATGCATACCCATGTTTATAGCAGCATAATTCATAGTAGCTAAATCTTGTTAACAGCCTGTATGTCCATTAACAGATGAATGGATAGAGAAAATGTGGTATATATATATATATATACACAGTGGGTTACTACTCTACCATAAGGATAACTTTGAGCCACTTGCAGGAAAGTGGATGAAACCACGTTAAGTGAAATAAATCAGACATACATATCACATGGTTTCTTTTATATGAGAAACCAAAAATATAAATAGCAAAATAAAACAAATAATAAGAAGTAGGGAGATAGTTTTCAAATGGAAAGGGTATGAAGAAAGTTTTCAAGATGGAGATAAAGGGGGTGAAGAACTGTGTTATGAACATGTACCAACTTTACACAAGGAATGTAAACATTATGGACTGCAAACATGTACTACTAAAAAAAAAAAAACCAGAACAAGTCAAGGTCATGTGGCTTAAAAATTTCTGAGCTGGGGTTTCAGTCTCAATTAATTGTCACAAACCACTAAAATGATGTTCTTGATCTAGGACTAAGTGATGAGAAAAAAATCATTGGTTTTCTAAAAACATTAAGTTTTATTTTAAAATGTCTCTTTACAAAATTTGTGTAAGCCGGACATGGTGGTGCACGCCTGTAATCCCAGCAGATGGGAGGCTGAGGCAGGAAGATCGCTGTGAGTTCAAGACTAGCTTGGGCTACATAGTGAGTTTCAGGTCAGTCTCAACTACAAAGTGAGACCCTGTCTCAAAAAAGAAAAAAAATAAAAACTTGTCTAAATAACCCTTGATTTTAAAACACTGTGGCTATAAAGAAAGCTGCTACATGATCCAATTCACCACGCTGAGTAGTTTTTACAGTATAAAATGAAGTTAAGTCTAGCCTCATCCCAATGCTGAATTCACCTGCTAAGCTACCATATCCTTTCACGTGTCCGTTTCATCCTACAAATAGAAATCTTACTTTTAAAGGAATTTTTTTCTTTACCATGGTTCAAGAATTAAAGGTTCATAAGACTACTCAAAATTTGTGGATTTTCAGTCCAGAATCTTATACCTAAGAGCCTTTCATTAAAGAGAACCAATTCTTTTTCATGTCATTATTTTGGCCAAGCTTTCCACACCCATTTCCCTCTTGATAAGTATATTAAACCTATTTAAACAAAGATAAATGAGTTAAGTGTATACAAAGATGTTAGGGCTGGGACTGACACCTACCATTCATCTACTTACAACTTACTATTCTAGTCTTCTCTACATCATGCTTTTTTTGGGTGAGGGGTACTGAGGATTGAACCCAGGGCCTTCTCACTTACTCACATCCTCAGGCCTTTTTATTTTTTAAATTTTGAGACAGTATCTCACAAAGTTAAAGTTTCCCAGGATGAGCTCAAACTTATAGTCCTTCTGCTTTAAGCTCCCAGAATGCTGGGATCCACTTACTTTAGACATTACGTAGAATAGTCTAGATGCTCCAAATGTGTCATGCTTTCTATCATGCCCATGCTCACATTATTTTTTTTCCTTAGAAACATTTCTTGTCAAGCCTATTAAGCCCTGTTTGTTCATATTTTTCCTTTTTTGAGACACAGAAGAGAAAGTCAACTCCTATAGTCCTCTACTACCCCTAGCCCTCTATGTACAGCCTGGCAGTGACATATCCTCATAAAGGCACTGAGAGCAAATATCAAAGATACGTGACTAACTGAATTCTGTCTCTTTGTAAAACACAAAATCCGTCTGGGTGATGCTAGACAAGTCTTAAAAAAGATTACAGGAATCACTTAGAATATTCACCTGCTTCTATATAATAAATTTTAATGCAAACATTCAATAGGGCATCTTTCCCATTGCGCCCAAAATTTCAGCTCTTTCTGCTGCTATAGGCATAAATGGCTTCACTCCATTCTGTCGTCTTTGGACCATGATAGAATGCTGTGTAGGAATAAAAGAAAACAGAATTAGTCAAATATTAAATGGCATATAACTTTCCAGTAATTTGCTACTGTTTCTCAAAAAGAAAATTCTAAAAATCCAGCTTAAGATATCTAAAACCTAGTTCTAAGAGCTTAAGTAAATGTTTCAAACTATTAACACTTAAAAAGAAGTGATTACTCCCAGATATGTTAATAGTAATTGGGACAAGGAAATACTACAGAAGTACAACACAAGAATGTATATATAATTACTGCATAATTGCTAATAAAGCAACAGTCCATTCAGCAAAAGAAAAACAAGAAGCTAGAACCAGCTCTCAGAGAAACAGAAATTATGTAACAAAGCCTTGAGAAAAGGCATACCATTTTAGCTACCATGTCAATGAGAAGGAAGGCAAGAAATGAAAGTCTAACATGGTGTGTGAATCTTTGTTACCTACATTGTTATACATAACAAGGTTAAGGTTATTGCTTTAAGGCTATAGATACCCAGGAGGATTCATTAATATTAAAACTGCCTTATTATACCTTACAGTAAAGAAAAAACAAAAAAACTCTCAAGGATTCTCTAGGGCTGAAATAGCACACAGGGAAGGCTGAAAAGTTGTTTCCTTGTGGCCTTGATTTCAAGTGGGTTTTAACAGGAAGCTCACCAAGTCAGGCTTACCCAGAATCTCCGGCAGTTTTTGTACTTCAAGAAGTAACTGGAACACCTTTCCTTGTTATAGTTATTTTCGGCCATACATCTGCTAGAAGCATCAGTCTCCTTAAATACATAAGGGAGTAGTCATTTACAACATAGAATGAGATCTAAAACAAACCTAAAAACAAATTTCTGAAGCTGCTTTCCTCCTAAAGCTACAGAAAATGTGAAATGGTTCATTTTTATTCATTTTAATAAGTAGATTAATAAAAATTTAATAATCTTGCCAACTATCTCATAATTCATTCTTTTGAGGTAGACATCTTCCTTTTCATACTCAGCCAATTTTCTAAATATCTGATCAAAGGAATTTGAGCCAAAGCACTGGCTATGATCATTTGATCCAGAACGTGAAGCAAGACATAATAGCCTTCAAAATCACTGCTGCGCAGCTAGACTCCAAAACCAGTATTCCAAATCACACTACAGCTCTGTTGGCTTTCCCCAGTTCTCATTCTGACTTGATGTTTGATCTTAATGCTAGCTCCCAGATTCCAAGTAAATTGCTAATAAGTGGTTTACATCAAGGAAACCTAAATTAACACCATTCACCTTAATGCATTTTTGGCAATCATTTACTCTGCTACACAGTAACTAAAATATTATGTAAGTAATTTTAACAGTTTTTAATACCACTTTAAACCAAACTGAGTAATACAGGACTAGTTTAGAAGAGTAGGTACCACTGAGAGTAAAATTTAAACTGTCTAAACTGAAAGCAGAATGGATAACAAACTTCAAAGTAATAGGTATGATTATGAAACGTTGTGCAAAAGCTGTGAATAAAGAGGCAGATAATTTGCCTCACAGATTTCAGAAACATGTTCTATCTAATAATTATTTAACAAAGCTGTTGAAAGCTAATTTTAATAAATTAAACAAAGTTGAATTTCTATACCAAATGTTTAATGAATATTTATTTTGGACAAATGCATACAGGATTGGGGAGTACAATTCCTTGCAGTGAGGCCACAAGAAAGTTTTATAAGTCATCCAAATTAATGCAAATAAAAAGTAATTCTGTTCACAAGATACCTTTGTGAAAATCTTTAGGCTTAAAACAGGCTCATTTTATTTATCAGCCATTTTATTTATTAGCCAGGAGGTTATATCAAGGACATGATAAAATTACTGACATTAAAAGTAAAACTCTCAGTGGTAATTTAAAACTGTAGTACCTTGCAGTTTTCAATGTTTGGAGTAAAGATTTTCCTCAATGTTATATATGTTCTTCTAGTTTTACAGTGACAACTTAACATATGCTTAACGTATGCAAATAAACAAAACTAAATAATCTTTGTTACCTAAATTATGAACATCTAAAAATGCTCCAGTGAAATAAAATAAGCTGATCAAGCATTTTTTACAAAAATAAACTTTATTCAACACCTGCAGAAAACAGGTGCCCCCAAAATGGAAATGAAAAGCTAATCCCCCTACCGACAAGCAAGGATTTATGTCAGGATCTCTCAGTTGTTTTGTCATCAGAGGCATCCTAACTCTTCTTACTGAAGACAGAAAAAAAGGGTTAGGAAGTAGATAACAAAATAAATTTAAAAATCTCATTAACCCTGAAAGTACTTAAAAACTTTAGTTTTAGCATAATGATCACCTAGCAAAATGAAGATCACGTATCCTCTGTACTTTAAATACAGACTTAGATGTGTTTCTCCTTTGTGTTGCGAGGGTGCCTCAACACAAATATAGAAATGCATCTACTGAAACTTGATTGTAATGTGCAATATGATAATTCAGTTGTAGTTTACTCTCCCTTAACTAGATTAACAAAATCTAATACTTCTTAGAATAGTGATCAGCACACACAATAAGCAATTTAGTACATTATGACTTAGCAAAAACATGTATCAACTAAAGCTACACAGTGCTTGCCCTGTGGCCAGCACTAGTCAATATAACAAAAAGCCAAATTATTGCTTAGTTGACATTTTGAGAAGCCCCAGAATTTAAAATATAATTTTAAATTATTTTAAATTTGCATCTATTTATAACTACTTATTTTACTTCTGAAGTTACATCTTCTACTTTCTATTTAACTGGTAATTTCTTGTGTGAAATAAAGTCAGGGAACGCTACTGTAATCTTCCAACTCAAACCTTAGTTGTATACTTTTGCAAGTTTACTGACTACAGATGATCAGTTCCCTAAGAATCAGTTGATCCAAGTCATCTACTTACATAATATGTCAACCATATTCCAGAACAATTGCTTTCCAAAATGAAGTTCAACTACAACATCCATGACTTTTCTTTTTTTTAAAAAAAAAAAGCCATAGAAAAGACTATAAGAGAAAATTTAAAAACAATGGTCAAATAAAATATTGATTTTTCTTTCTTTTTTTTCTTTTTCTTTTTTTGTTTCGATGTATCAGAATACCATTGATGAACTATTCAATACACTTTAAAATGCTATGGACTGAACTTAAGGAGTTTACCTGGCTTATACTCTCAAATCCTGTTCCAGCTTAATTATTCTTCTATCGAAAGATCAAAGGAATAGGTGGCAAATAATGTAATATGACCTACAACAATCTACTGAATAAAAAACCTCACTGGACAATAATATAACCAGGGGTCAATGGTTTTGTATGAAATGGTTTCAACTTTCCTTGTCCAAGCTGAGATCACAAAACTTACCAACTGAGTTAAAGGAAAGTGTATTTAGGACAAATTCCATAAGCCCCTGATAAGAGAAGGTACTCTCAATCAAGTCACTGAAATCAATTTCTTCCATTACGGGAATCAGGGTATTTGGCTAAAGGAGACTAATTTCTATAAAGAAGAATGGAAATGGGGTTTAGTTACTCTGAGGTCCTTTAAATTTTAGTGATCACTAATCATTTTATATCATAAACTTTTACCACATGAAAATTCCCAGCCAGCAGAAACATCTTAGCAGAAAGGAAATTCAAGATGCTGTTCAATTATATCTAAAAGCATCTTTCTCACAGGAACACAATTATTTTGCAGGCTTGACTCTTTTTAAAAGAAACAACGGCATTAAGTTTACAGTCTTTTTTCACAACTATTCTGTGATGTGAGAACACAGAACTTCGCTTAGGTGTTCATGTATCTTGTCTATAATAATCTCAACAACCATCAGACACAGAATTGAAGCCTGTGCTTTCCATGAAAGTATTTGATTCTGTATTTCATTACCATTGTCAGAAATTCTTTAAAAATAACACTTAGATAACATTACATACACCCCATCAGGTTTCCTTGCATGAATTTATTCGCATTTTATTTTCCTTCCAGACACTAAATACAACTCTAAGTTTGAATTTTTGAATGTCACTTCCTTTCAATGAATTCCTGTGTTAACTGGAAAAGAAGAGGAAAAGTCAATTTACAGCAAGAAACAAAGCAGCAGAGTAAGACCAACTGCTTCACTAAAGAGGCCATATCTACTTACTTTTTGAAGGTATAACACTAGACAAAAGTTACAAGGCTCTGTACTTCCAAGAGGATAGCCAGAAAGAACACCCCAAACACACACACACACACAGAAAAGGGCCCCAAACTCCTGCACATCTGAGCAATAACTAAAATGCACTCTAACATGCAACACACTTAACATAGTACTTCATTTCTCATACTGCTGCTCACGGTCCTACTCTTCAAGTGGCTCTGAAGAGGAAGGGAAAACGGGCCCTCACTGAACATGTCCATGCCCACTGGCTAGTCTGAGCCTAGGCAGGGTCTGCGTTAAATCGGGAAGCAGAAACATACGATGCCATTAACACCGGGCTGGCTGCACAGGGCCAGGGACAAGAAGGGTGCGCACTGGGGAACAGGGAGGCCTAGGAAGAAACTGGACCAATGCAGACTCCGGACGGTACTGCCAGTCAGCGTCTAATCTTGGACGGCGGGCACAGGTGAACACAACTAGCTTAGCCCTAGGAGGAAGACAGGCCGGAGACTAGAAGAACTCGGGAAACGGAAACCGGGAGGGAGGTGAGGGATGGGGGAGGAGTGTTTGCAATTGCTTCAAAGGTTGGAGAGGAGGTTTAAGAAAAACCGGACCAGGCAGAGATCACCTTCCTTCCCTACCTCCGGGCAAAAAGACCCGCGTGGCAAGAGAAACTACAGGAATAGGCTCGCGCCGCGGCGAAGCAAGGCCTGGAGTCTCTGAGCCGCACACATAGATTCGGACCCCGCGGCTGCCCAGCTGTTCCCCTTTTCTCCTGCTTTGCCGTAGCCACCGCAGAGAGTAGGGCGGGGGGGGCAGGGAACCACTCACCTCGAGAGGACACTTCGCTAACGCCCAGGGAGCCTCCAGTTCCAAACACGTCAATAGCTCACGCAGCAGCACCTTAAATAGTGCGCATCCAAACTTGCTGTCCCCGCTGCCCGGCGGCCGCCTGCCCAATCGCTGTGCGCCGTTGCCAGACTGAC